TGGAAGAACAAACATCAAATTGGTAAAAACCAGTTTCCTCTGGGACAGGGACCTACATTGGAGAATCTATAATGTTTGACTCAAACAATAAAAATATATTCACGAATTACTTGAAGAATCAAAACTTCAACAGTATGTGAACTGTAAACTTCCAGACGTTCAAGCCGGATTTAGAAAAGGCAGAGGAATCAGAGATCAAATCGCCAACATCTGTTGGCTCACCAAAAAAGCAAGAGAGAGTTCCAGAAAAACATCTACTTCTGCTTTATTGACTATGCCAAAGTCTTTGACTGTGTGGATCACAACAAAGTGTGGAAAATTCTTCAAGAGATGAGAATACCAGATCACCTGACCTGCCTCTTGAGAAACCTGTATCAGGTCAAGAAGCAACAGTTAGAACCAGACAAGGAACAATGGACTGGTTCCAAATTGAGAAAGGAGTACATTAAGGCTATATATTGTCACCCTGATTATTTAACTTCTATGCAGAGTACATCATGAGAAATGCCAGGCTGGATGAAGCACAAGCTGGAATCAAGATTGCCGGAAGAAATATCAATAACCTCAGATATTCGGATGACACCACCCTTATGGCAGAAAGCAAAAAACTAAAGAGCCTCTTGATGAAAGTGAAAGAGGAGAGTGAAAAAGCTGGCTTAAAACTCAACATTCAAAAACAGTAAGATCATGGCATCTGGTCCCATTACTTCAAGGCAAATAGATGGGGAAACAATGGAAACAGTAAGAGACTTTATTTTCTTGGCCTCCAAAATCACTGCAGAGGGTGACTGCAGCCATGAAATTAAAAGATGCTTGCTCCTTGGAAGAAAAGCTATGACCAACCTAGACTGCATATTAAAAAGCAGAGACATCACTTTGCTGACAAAGGTCCACATATTCAAAGCTATGGTTTTTTTTCCAGTAGTCATGTATGGATGTGAGAGTTGGACCATAAAGAAGGCTGAGCGATGAAGAATTGATGTTTTTGAACTGCAGTGTTGGAGAAGACTCTTGAGAGTCCCTTGGACTGCAAGGAGATCAAACCAGTCAACCCTAAAGGAAATTAGTCCTGAATATTCATTGAGAGGACTGATGCTGAAGCTTAAGCTCCAATACTTTGGCCACCTGATGTGAAGAACTGACTCATTGAAAAAGACCCTGATGCTGGGAAAGATTGAAGGCAGGAAAAGGGGAGGACAGGGGATAAGATGGTTGGATGGCATCACTGACTCAATGGACACGAGTTTGATCAAGCACCGGCAGTTGGTGATGGACAGGGAGGCCTGGCATGCTGCAGTCCATGGGATCACAAACAGTCGGACATGAGTGAGGGACTGAACTGAACTGATACTTTTCCGCAATTTACTGATTAAGAAAGAGTTTTAAAGAGGACTTTAACTGGCAGGATGAAGGAAAATGCATGATGCCAAGTTCATTTTATAACAACTACACAATGTTGCCTCTATACATCAAATATCTTCTAGCTTTATTTACGTGCATGGACAATGTGGGGAGGGAGGACAGGAAGTGCTCAGGAAGCTTTTGGACTCATAATATTCCTAAAAGAATTTTTTAAAATAACATTTACATATTTATTACTCATAAATAACCATGGAAAAGTAGTCTTGTTGATCAAGTTACAAAAAAAAGAGTATCAAAAACAGTATCAGATTAGAGAAATAAATACATAAGACACCACTTTCTTCAATATTATTAATAGGAAAAGTCTATGGGGGGGATATTGGCCACAAAGAAGAATTTATAGTAAATTGAAGGAGCAAAGTAAGAAAGTGACTTAAGAGAAACAAAATTGATTTGTAAGTTGAAAAGAAAAGTATAGGTCAAAGAGTTCTTATTGGCAGAACAACAGGGAGAAGTTGGCAGAACTGCTAAATGGTTTACCTCTTTCCTCTGAAAACTGAGGGTGTAAAAAGCATGGCTAAGGTCTTACGCAAACAGAGTTGACATTTCAACAAAACATTTCAAATTTCAAGACTGACACTGATGCATACCCCCTTGTGTTCAGATAATAGGGACTCCCGATGATATTAAAGTAAGAAAGGGCATGTGCTAATGAAGTACAATGTTAGATCCTAGCTTCATCTTAGGAAAAGATCTGCTGAGAAATTCAGGAGAACTGTTACACTTAAAATGGATGAGACTGTGAGGAAACAGACATAAATTATACATAAAAGCTTAAAATAAAATTTCCAGGCTCAAAAGCTTGCGAGTTCTATGTATTTTTCAAATACTCAAATATACAAATGTGATCCACATGTGACTGATAATGGATAGACACACTTCTTATATACAAAGAATTTTCTCATGTCATTACAAAACAATACAGGCATTACATAGTGGTACCAGTGATTTTATGGTGGTAGCTGTGTTTTCTTGATTTAATTTCAGATTTAAATGCAGGGCAATAGTGCATAAATAGTAAAAGAAGATAAATGAAGCCAGAAATAAGTAAACAAACAAGAAACTAAAAAAATTAATATATGGAACTCAACAATTAGAATATCTGCATGCACAAGCCATACAAAACATACAGCTATTAAATATTAACTTCAAATTGTATGAGTGAAATGGCCTGAAAGAACATGGCACAACATCATATTGTGTGTTCAATTTCTTATAATGACAAAAAAATGGAGACATAAACTATAATTTTTAACAACCAACAAGGACCTACTATACAGCACAGGGAACTATATTCAACATTATGCAATAACCTATAAGAAAGGAATCTGAAAAACAATATATTTGTATATATGTATGTCTTCTCTAGTAGCTCAGATGGTAAAGAGTTTGCCTGCAAGGCGGGGTCCTGGGTTCGATCCCTGGGTCAGAAAGATCCCCCGGAGAAGGGAATAGCAACCCACTCCAGTATTCTTGCCTGGAAAATTCCATGGACAGAGGAGCCTGGCGGGCCCCAGTCCATGGGGTCGTAAAGAGTCAGACACGACTGAGCAACTAACACACACATAACTGTGTGGCTGAGTGACTGTGCTATATACCTGAAACTTACATGATATTGTAAATCAACTATACTCTAATAAAACATTTATAAAATAAAAAATTGAAAATTCTTTTTATATAATTTTTAAAACTTTATTAATTTTAATGAAATTTTGGCCATACCATGTGGCATGCATGATCTTAAGTTTCCTGACCAGGGATGGAATCGTGCCACCTGCAGTGAAGGAGTGGAATCTTAACCACTGGACCATTGGGCAAGTCCCTGAAAATTCTTAAATGAGTTATGTACTCAATGTTCTTCCCACTTCCCATCACTCCACAGAAACTGCCATTGCAGAGGTCACTAAATCTCACAGATGCCTTTCAGTCCTCATCTTACTTTGGTCTCTCAGCAGCATTTAATACAGTATTAAACATACTCCTTCCTTTTTTCCTGCCAACAATACTCTATTCCCTTAGTTTTCATGACCTCACCCTCTGGCTTTTCTTCCTATGTCTCTTCCCATTCCTCAGCTTCTTTTGTGAGCTTCTCCCTTCTACCTCCTGTTCCCTCTATAATCCAACCAAAGGCAGATAGGATATGATTGGGAAATTATTATGGAAAGATTATCAAACTGCCAACATCTGTTGGATCATAGAAAAAGCTAGAGAATTCCAGAAAAGCATCTATTTCTGCTTCATTAACTATGCTAAAGTCTTTGACTGTGTAGATCACAACAAACTGTGGACAATTCTTAAAGAGATGTACCAGATCTCCTTACCAGCCTTCTGAGAAACATGTATGCAGGTCAAGAAGCAACAGTTAGAACCAGACATGGAACAACAGACTGGTTCAAAATTGGGAAAGGAGTACATCAAGGCTGTATATTGTCACCCTGCTTATTTAAATTCCATGCAGAGTACATCATGAGAAATGCCAGGCTGGATGAAGCACAAGATGAAATCAAGCTAGAATCAAATTTTTTTTGGGGGGAAGGTAAACCTTTAGTTAGAAAAGAGAATTCAAATGACCATTTAAATCCCCCTTTCATTTCCAAAACAGAAACAAATAAGAAAACAAGGAAAAGATTATATCTATCAAGCTCCCACCCTCTATCATCTTTAGCCATTTTTAAACTACATTTCCTGGCAGAAGAGAACAGCTGATGATGGGCTCTAGTTCTAGGCTCTAGGAACCAAGGAAGAGACAAACAGAGTGGATGGTGGGGTGTGGACAGATGGGCCTGGGGCTCAGACAGGCACATGTCCAGTACCCAGGAAACAATGTTTAAAAATATACATGCATAGATAAATTCCCCAGAACCTAGGCATGGAAAGCTTATAACCATGAATACAGCAGCAGAATTCAAGCTGGGTTTTTGGCTTTCAAAAAAAAAAAAAAAGGAGAAAACGTGAACCTCAGCTAACTGTCCCTAACTTTAGCCTCTCAGTTATATCCTCCAGTTCCATTCTGGGGGCCACATCTGCAGGGTCAACAGCTACTCTGAATGATGGGAGGTGTGAGGAGGAGCCAGCCAGGAACACCTCATGCCAAATCCAGCAAAGAAAGATTAAAGCCTGCAGGTGACTCGTGTGGGCAAGGGAGCCCCCTGAATGGGCCAGAGTGCCTTGCCATACCAGGCGAGGGAAAGCAGAGGCAATAAGCAGTCGAGGCCTTGCCAGCTGAATCAAACCCTCAAGCACTGCCACCTCCAGGTCTTGGGCCACTTTTGTCCAAGGCTGCCTTTCTATAAGAAGGTTTGGCCTGAGCTAAATATCAGACTTTTCTAGGGGCAAAAAAAGGGGAGGGAAAGGGGGACGTAGCAAAAAGTAAAAAGCAGTACGAGGAGAGGAGCAGAGAGTTGCAGCTGAGGTGTGTGAGGAAAGGGAGCAAGTCCCTGAAGTCTTGAGTCCTAGCTGAGGCCGCTACCTGCTCTCCCTCCGCTGGGACTCCCGCCTTCACCCCAGTCCTCCAGTGAGACCAGAGTTTGCTGACAGCTCTTTCTCCTCAACCTTAAAGAGCTTTGAACCTCAAACCACTATCTCTGCCCACTGACCCCCCAACACAGCAGCCTGGGGAAAGGGACAAGTCCTAGGGGGAACACGCAGGCCTGTGGGGAGCTCTGGGCAGGAAGCTCAGAGGCTGCTAAAACAGCAAATGCAACCCTTAGTCTGCTGCTCCAGGCTGTGGCAACCACTTGTTCCAGAGCCCGGATGAAGAGGATCCCCTGGTTGGCCAGATTAATGCCTAATGAAACACAGAGGATAAAAGGACCTGGTCACGCCCTCCACTGGCCCCAAGGCCAACAGCCCCAGTGTGGAAAGCAGGATAGTCAGAGACAGGCATGACCGCACAGAGCAGTTCCACCCCGAGAGGATGCAGACATGACACACGTCTCACATGTGTGTGTCTGCAGGAGGGCTGGGTCCACAGGTCTCAGGCAGGGAGAAGGTTGGGTCAGAAGGCACCACCAAGAAACGGCCTGAAAAATAAATAACCAATGAGATCAATGGCTCCTGCAATCCTGGTAATTAAAAATCAATGGGGAGTGCTGGATACATAGAAGGAAGGGGGAATCCCCCTTCTGCCTCTCCCAGGGCCACCAAGAAATTACGAGGCACAGGATTAGGAAGAGGTTGGGGCGGGGCAGGGACCACAGGCAGAGAATATAGACAGGCCTGGAGAAAATCTAACCATGGGAAAAAGGGAACAAGGAGGAGGCGGGGAGGGGACGAAAGTTTCTTGGCTCTAAGTTTCCAGAAGCATGGAATATTTCCACAGTCTCTGATCTGGCAAGCTCTTCTGGAAAAGAAGTGCTCTTCCCCTGGGAGCCCATCATGGGGCCGTGACTTCCATCCCAAAGCTGGACAGTAGGCAGAGGTGGTCTGAAAAGCAGAAGGTGTTAGGTAAGCCATTGGTAGCCCAGAGAATTGCCGGGAAAAATATCAGTAACCTCAGATATTTGGATGACACATACTTATAGCAGAAAGTGAAGAATTAAAGAGCCTCTTGATGAAGGTGAAAGAAGAGTGTGAAAAAGCTGGCTTAAAATTCAACATTCAAAAAACTAAGATCATTGCATCTGGTCCCATCACTTCATGGCAAATAGATGGGGAAACAATGGAAACAGTGACAGACTTTATTTTCTTAGGCTTCAAATTCACTGTGGATGGTGACTGCAGCCATGAAATTAAAAGATGCTTGCTCCTTGGAAGAAAAGCTATGACAAACCTAGACAGCATATTAAAAAGCAGAGACATCACTTTGCCTACAAAGGTTTTATAGTCAAAGCTATGGTTTTTCTAGTAGTCATGTATGGATGTGAGAGCTGGACAATAAAAAAGACTGAGCGCCAAAGAATTGAAGCTTTCGAACTGAGGTGCTGAAGACTCTTGAGAGTCCCTTGGACAGCAAGGAGATCAAACCAGTCAGTCCTAAAGGAAATCAACCTTAAATATTCATTGGAAGGACTGATACTGAAGCTGAAGCTCCAATACTTTGGCCACCTGATGTGAAGAGTTGACTCATTAGAAAAGACGCTGATGCTGGAAAAGATTGAAGGCAAAAGGAGAAGGGGACAACAGAGGATGAGATAGTTGGATGACATCACTGACTCAGTGGACATAAGTTTGAGCAAGCTCTGGGACATGGTGAAGGACAGGGAAGCCTGGTGTGCTGTAGTCCATGGGGTCGCAAAGAGTCAGACATGACTGAGCAACTGAACAACATTAAATTCTGTTGCATATAATCCTGCAAGCCTAAAAGATACTTCTCTCCCCATTATGAATCAATATCAAATGAATAAGCATAGCTTTCTGCTGAAGTAAACCACTGTGGTAGGCTAAATAGCCAAAGATGGCTCTGTCTTAATCCCCAAAACCTGTGAATATTTTTCCTTACATGGCAAGAGAGACTTTGCAAAAGAAAAAAAGACTTTGCTGATGTGATTAAGTTAAAGATTTCAGTGATTCTGTTTACAATAGCTAAGACATGGAAGCAACCTAGATGTCCATCAGCAGACGAATGGATAAGAAAGTTGTGGTAGATATACACAATGGAATATTACTCAGCTATAAAGAAGAACACATTTGAGTCAGTTCTAATGAGGTGGATGAAACTGGAGCCTATTATATACAGTGAAGTAAGTCAGAAAGAGAAACACCAATACAGTATATTAATACATATATATGGAATTTAGAAAGATAGTAGTAACGATTCTATATGCAAGGCAGCAAAAGCAACACAGATGTAAAGCACAGACTTTTGGACTATGTGGGAGGAGGCAAGAGTGGGATGATTTGAGAGAATAGCACTGAAACATGTATATTACAATATGTAAAACAGATGACCAGTGCAAGTTCAATCCATGAAGCAGGGCACTCAAAGCTGGTGCTCTGGGACAACCCAGAGGGATGTGGTGGGGAGGGAGATGAAAGGGGGTTCACGATGGGGAGATACATGTGCACCCGTAGGTAATTCATGTCAATGTATGGCAACAACCACCATAATATTGTAAAGAAATTATCCTCCAATTAAAATAAATTAATTAATTCTAAAAAATTTTTAAAGATTTCAGTGATTTAAGTTAAAGTTAGGGAGATTATTCTGGTGGCCTCTACATAATCATAAGGGTCCTCATAAGTGAAAGGAGGAGGCAGGAGAGTCAGAAAAGGAGATGTAAAGACATAAGTAGAAGTTGAAGTGGAGACTGCTGGCTTTGAAGATGAAAGGAAACCATGAGCCAAGGAATACAGACAGCCCCTAGAAGCTGGAAAAGAAAAGGAACAGATTCTCCTGGAAAGTCACCAGAAGGGACATGGCCCTGCCAACATGTTGATTTTAGCCTTGTGAGTTTGTACTTCTGACCTCTAGAGCTGTAAGACAACAAATCTGTTTAGGTCACTGGATTTGTGATAATTTGTTACAACGGCAACAGGAAACTAATATGCTTACTTTAAAAGGAAAAAAAGAAGAATAAACTGAATCCTAGGGAAAAGAAGGCTCGCCCAAAGAAACCTCTTAGGACCTTCTAATCATGACAAGAAAGAAATCAAGGAACCTCTTCTCCAGAGTAAGGTGAGAGACCATCTGGTGATTTTTCTTCTGTCTTGCCTTAAGGGCTGTTTGCCTGGATGGTCTGTCAGAAGTCCCCAACCTTTTTGGCACCAGGGATTGCTTTCATGGAAGATAATTTTTCCACACACCAGGAAGTGGGGGCATGGTTTCAGGATGATTCAAGCATTACCTTTATTGTGCACTTTATTCTAATCTTGGGCTTCCCTTGTGGCTCGGCTGGTAAAGGATCCGCCTGCAACGCAGGAGACCTGGGTTCAATCCCTGGGTTGGGAAGATCCCCTGGAGAAGGGAAAGGCCACCCACTCCAGTATTCTGGCCTAGAGAATTCCATGGACTGTATAGTCCATGGGGTCGCAAAGAGTCAGACACAACTGAGTGACTTTCACTCACTCATTCACTCTTATTTCTAATCTAATGCCTCCACCAATCTGACAGGAGGAACCAGTCAGCAGCCCAGAGGTTGGAGGCCTCTGGGCTTGGTGACTCTCCCACTCCCACCCTTCAGAAAATACCTGAAACTGGGCTGCTTCTTCCCTTCCCTTCATCCTAGATGAGGATTTCTCTAGGAAGATGTTAGCTCACCTATAGGCTACTTCCTCCCATCATGAGGGTGGAGGCCAGGAAAGAACTAGTGCCATATAGGAAGTTCCTATTGATTAACTGATAAAACCTGGGCGTGGGGATACTGAGCTCTGAATGGGATCCTTCTTTACAGGAAATGGCCCCCTCATCAGGTGTCACATTGAATGCAGCCAACTACTAAGGTCAGAAAACATCACGACAAGAAATCAATTGAGGAACCCTGGAGAATCACAATCCTAAGTTCCCTTTATTCTCTGCTGTATTCCAAGACAGACAGACTTTTGAAAACAAAGAACAAAAAAATATGTCACTCAGGCCATCCACAAAAATAAATCCTAGCAGTATCAAAGATGTAATCAAATATACAGAAATCCCTATACAAGTATTAGAAAACAAAGAGAAATGTTTATGACCTTGGCATATGGAAGACCTTATTAAACAAAAACAAAAATCAAAAGCCAAAAAAGAAAAGATAAATCTGACCTTGAAATTTAAAACTTCTACTCAATAAAAGTTACCATAAAGTTAAAAGGCAAGAGACTGAGAGAAAATATTTGCAATATATATATAAAATACAGGACTAATATTTTTCTTTATTTATACTGGATAAGAAAAAGACAAACAACATAGAAATACAGGTACAGAATATGAGCAGGCACATCACATGAAAAATATGAATGGCCAACGAGTGGATGTTCAACTTCCTTCTTAATTAGAGTACTAAAAATAAACAATGAGATTCTATTTTCATATTGGCAAAATGTAAAGTTTGTTAATATTCAGTGTTGGGAACAGTAAAAAGAAATACCTCTAACACCCTGCTGGGGAGAGCATAAGTTAATACAGCCATGTTGGAGGAGCATTTGACAATATCTCAGTCAGTTCAGTCACTCAGTCGTGTCCGACTCTTTGCGACCCCATGAACCGCAGCATGCCAGGCCTCCCTGTCCACCACCAATTCCCGGAGTCCACCCAAACCCATGTCCATTGAGTCGGTGATGCCATCCAACTATCTCATCCTCTGTTGTCCCCTTCTCCTCCTGCTCTCAATCTTTCCCAGCAGCAGGGTCTTTTCAAATGAGTCAGCTCTTTGCATCAGGTGGCCAAAGTATGACAATATCTACTAAGATTATAAATGCATATAGTTTATGATACCACTCCTAGGTACATATCCTGGAGTAGATGCTCAGATGTTCTCAAAAGGTGGTCCACAGATCCCTAGAAACCCCCAAGATCATTTTGGAGGGTCTGTGAGATTCAAAAAACTTTTCATAAAAGTATTAAGACAGCTTCCTTGGTGGTCCAGTGGTTAAGAATCTGCCTGCCAATACAGGGGACACAGGTTCGATCTCTGGTCCAGGAAGATTCCACATGCTGTAAAGCAACTAAGCATGTGCCACCACAACTAACCATGCACTGCAGCTACTGAAGCCAATATACTCTAAAGCCTGTGCACCACAACAAAAGAAGTCACTGCAATGAGAAGCCCACAAACCCCAACTAGAGAGTAGCTCCCACTCACTGCAACAAGAGTAGCCCCTGCTAGCTGCAACTAGAGAAAGTTTGTGCACAGCAATGAAGACCCAGCGCAGCTATAAATAAATAAAGCATTAAGATGTGTTTGCCTTTTTTACTGTGCTGACATTTACACTGATGGTGCAAAAGCAAATATGGGAGAAAAAGAAAAAGCAAAGATGGGTAAAAGGCAGTGGGACCAAGCTGTACTAGTAGTCACTATTTTTTAACCACCACACACTTAAGAATGTCCTTGATGAAGCAGTAAAAGTTATTACATCTCCATTGTTGGTTTAATATTTTGTATAACAAAACAGGAAGTACAAAGTACAAAGTATTTCTGTTGCATACTCAAGTTGGGTTGTGCCAAGGAAAAGTACTTGTGAAACTGAGTTGTGAGCTGAACTAGTCACTTTTTAAATGAAACACCATTTTTCTTGAAATAACAACTGACAGATAAACCATGGATATTCATACTTGGGTTCTTGGCAGGTGTTTTCTTGAAATGGACAAAATGAGCCTGTTGCTTCAAGAAAAACTGAAAGAATCTGAGCTTTCGAGCAAAAAATAGAATTTTTGAAAACTTACACCTCCACAATAGATAGGTTTGGCAGCGTTTCAATACTTAAAAGACTTCTGATGAGAGCAGTGGTGATATTAATGAATGTGACTTTTTTGACACTGTATAATGAACTGTGTCAACATTTGAAAGAGCTGTGTAACAGTGAAAACAACATTTTCCAAACTGCCAATACATGTTATAAAATCATGCACCCAGTAAAAGATCTATTAAAGTACAAGGTAGACTAATGGATTTTAATGTAACAAAATATGAAATGTTGACTGATACAGTTTCAAAGTCCACATTAAAAGTAACCTTTTAAAAAGTAATCTTTAAGAAACTACCACTTGTTAAGGATTGACATAATATTAAACAATATACACAATTATTTGAAAAGGCTATTAAAATACTGCTCATTTTTCTAATTACACCCGTGTGATATACTTCAACCAAAACATCATAATAGATCAAATACAGAAGCAGATATTAGAATCCAGATGTTTCCTATTTATCCTATTTAAGAGACTTGCAAAAATGTAGCACAATTTTACTGTTCTTTTTTGGCTTTGCAAAAGTAATTTTTTATCTACAAATATAATTTAACATGTAATTAGCTTATTGCTGTTATTTTTAATGATTATTTTTAAATTATCACTTTGTAATTTCTAATACATTGAATAGTGATAGATATAAGCCCACATAAACAAATTCTCTTAGGAGTGTAGAGGGTCCTGATATTAAAAAGTTTGAAAACCACTTTCCTAGAGAAACTCTGACAAAAATGTCAAGTCAGGAAATGTTCATAGCAGGGCTCCTTGTAAAAGCTGCCCCCCCAAAAAAAGGTAAAATCTAATTGTCTATCAATAAGGAATGGTTAAATAAACCATTTAATAGCCATTCTATGGCATGTGTGTGTATGGTCAGTTGCTCAGTCCTGTCCAACTCCTTGCAACCCCATGGACTGCAGCCCACCAAGCTCCTCTGTCCATGGAATTTTCCAAGCAATAATACTGGAGTAGATTGCCATTTCCTTCTCCAATTCTGTGGCATACTATGCCACATTTTTTAAAATGAAGTAAATCTTGATATTAGTGAAATTAAAATGCTTCCAAAACATTGAACAAAAAACTTTCAGGATATGTACAGTATGGTATACTTTTTGTACAAATGGACACAACACATTGTCTTTTAAAAAGACTTGGAAGACTACAAGGATATATACAAAACAGTTGATAGTGGCTACCTTTGGGAAGGGTAAGAGGACTAGGATTGTGGGTAATGGCCAACGTGTACTTTAGCACCATTTTTCTGTAATGTTTTGAGGGATTCCCCACCGCCCCCCACCCGCCGAGGAGAATGTACTAGTGTAATTAAAAATAATTGGGGGAAAGGAATAAAGCAACAAGGTCAGGTCCACTGACACTGAGAAAGAAAAGGCACTGGCTCTGAATCCAGGCTGAGATGGCCAATGTATTTGCTGCAGTCGTTCTGGAGCTGATGAGTCTAGGAAAAAGCGAGCAGTGAAATCAAGCAACGGAGGGTATGGTTGGCTCAAACGGTTTTGACCACCTGGATGGAGAAATCTCTGAGTCAGGCACCCCCTGCTTCCTTCTTGGTATTTAATTCAAAGGAGGCCTTCAGTATTTGTATTTAATTCAAAGGAGGCCTTCACGGCCGCAGAGCCCAGCCTTTCCCGCTTCCGGCTTCACCTCTCTCTGTGGTCCCCGTCCGGGTCCCCGACCCCCACTCCCCGGGCCGCATCAGAGGAAGAGCTCGGGACCAGCGGTGGTGGAAGGAGCCCTGCAGGTTAAGGCACGGCCCTCTTAAGTGCTAGGCAAGGAGACTACAGGCAGTGTCGCGGCGGCACATCCGGAGACACTCTGAGACGCCAAAGCGTGGACCTGGGGTGACGGGGTTGGGGGATGGGTTAGAGGGTAGCTAGGTTGCGGGATGCAGGAAGTTACCGAACAAGCCAAACGAGCTCCGAGGCATCCCGCCGACTCTTCCAGGTGCCCTGAGGCAGGTTATGCTTTCGAAACCAGTGCCATAAGGTCCCCATTGGTCTTCCATCCCAGCCAACCAGCTGTAATCCCTATGGCCCACCCCTCGATTAAGAAGCCAATCAGAGGAGAGCGTGTGCTTCCCGTTGCATAGGACCAATTAAGTTTGCTCATTTCTGACGTGTGGATAGCCAACCAGAAGAGCGGAGGCCTGGCAAGTCGGCCTCTTATTTCAGTCACCAGCTCGATCTACGTCACTGTCCTTGTCCTGTCCCTACCTGTAATCTAAATAACCGAAAAGGAGATCAAAGCTGGAGGGATCGTGGTCCAAAAGGCAAAGTGATATTTCCCTGAGTTTCTAAAGAGATTAGCCCTGAGGTCAGATGAGCCTGTGGTTGGGCTATCAGTCCTGTTCTGGGATTGGCCTCAAGTAGTGCCAACCTGAGAAAAATATTGGTCGTCATGAGAGCGCCTCAGATATGCTGCTTTGCCACTAGGCTAGTAGTTTCATTTTCCTCCAAATTGAGGTGGGAAGAAGGCTAGGAACATCCTGGACCTTTAATTGAGATATTGGTTTTTCTATAATAAGAAGTGTAGGGATGCTCAATTAGCAGCGATACTGCTTATAGAACAACTAAAATGAAAAGTATGGGGGAATTTTTATGACAGTGGTATCATTACAAATAAATGTGCCAGGAAATGCAAATTAAAACTAAGAAACACCACTTTCACCAAATAGTATGGATAATTATGAATTTTTTTCCACTTTTGGCAAAGAAACGTTTTGGAGGGAAACAGGATTTCTCCACTTTTGTAAAGTTACAGAAATTCTCATTTTCTGTAAGTGGGAAACTAAACTGCACTCTTTAAGAAGGTAGCTTAGTAGTACCTAACAAAATGTAAAATGCACACATCCTTTCACCCAGGAATTCCTTCTCTCAAAATCTATCCTACAGAAACACTTAAAACACACAAGGTTATATGCAGCATTACTTATAATAGTAGATGATTTCCACCAATAAGTGAATCATTAAATGTTGATACAACTACACTGTAAAATGTTGTCACCATTTTTTAAAAATGAGGTAAATTTCCATGTACTGAGAGGAAGTTCACACAATATTACAAAATAAAGTTGCAAAATACTTCATAAAATATCCCATTTTGTTTTCAAATAACTATATACAAGTATGTGAGTATTCAATGATGTTTATGTGTGTATGAGTATAGGTATGTATTCATATACATGCATTTGTGCATAGAAAAATGCCTCGGAAGACACATACCGAATTAGGTTATTCCTGAGGAATGGAAATAGGGTTAGGGAATAAGGAGAAATCTCACTTTCTACATATTTATGTTTTGTTTGAACTTTGGCAACTAGCATTAACTACTTTTGAACTTTCATCACAATAAAACATTTTAACAAAACTGGCACTTTCATAATCAAAGTTATAATTTATATATTTTAAATAATAATAACTACATATAGTTATGAGGTGATTATTTCATTTAAAAATTTTGGCTAGGGTCTTCCTGGTGGTCCAGTGGTTAAGGGTCCACCCTTCTACTGCAAGGGATGCAGCTTGATCCCTGGTCAGGGAACTAAGATCCTTCATGTCACTTGGCAAAAAAAAAATTGTTTTTAAATAATAAAAATTTTGGCTAGAAGACCTATGATAAAATTATGGCAACTGTAAATCAAATCACCACTGAGATTCAATGGGGTACTCATGACACAACAGAATATGTGCAAAGAAAATCCAATCAGGGTAAGTGAAGAGTCATTCATTTCTGGGAGAGAAAACCTAACTGCACCATAGCAAACCACATCACAGAGGGAAAACTGTGCTTTCACCTTTTTTGATAGCATCACCTCCAGGGTTTCTCAACTCCTTAAGAAACAAGGGTTGAAAAACTTTATAGCTGAGAAAACAGGCCCAGAGTGGTGATGCAATTTGCTTAAGGAGCTATAGTCATCTAATAGCATAGCCAGCTCTGAACCCAGTCTTCTCTTCCAGGTTTAGTACTCTTTCTACTACTTTTCAGATCTTCCTGGGTCTTTATTTTGATGACATATTATGGAATATTTTTAAGTCTTATGAATATTAGACATCTCTGCATTTAAATTTTAGGACAAAAATGTATAACAAAATATTTAATAATATCCCTCCACTAGCACAGATGATCAAAATTGACTGTATTTGGACAAAAGAAATTACTGGATAAGAAATAACATTTCTTGAAAAGTAATGCATAAATTTCTGTGAATTTAACCATTCACTTAAGAACTACCATTTTATCCAATTTGATTGCTCTTCAATTTGCAGTGCCTCTTAATCCTTTACCTTCAGTTTCTCTATATTAAGTAGCTGTTGATCTATATACAAACACTTAAAACCACCACAGAAGTACATATTTAAAAGAAGCCTGCTGTGATTTTAAAATTCCTTTATTCTGTATAATGTTAATAATTACCCGTTTGTCTCTTTCATAAGGAATGACTTTTCTGTTCTCAGAAGGGTAGATAGACAGGAGGGAGAGAGAAAATAAAAGTAAAATAGGGAACATTTTTTTTGTATAATGTAAAAAAGATAAGAAGAATGAGGGATGGTGGGTGGTTGGAAAGGGAGTGGCAGAGAACCACAAGCTAAATCAGTCACAGAGTGTATTTTTAAAGTAAACTTGAATACTGTGATATATAGATGGACTAACAACCACCTAAACTTCAGGCTATAATTAAAGTGGTATCCAGTTTTAGACTCTATGACTTGGGGACATATGAGGACCTTGGAGAGACTTCAGAATAATAAAGATAAAAGGGTTAAAAATGAGTGAAGTAAGGAAAACTTAGAGCTGTTATTGTGTCTGAGAAGACCAGAGATGACTCAACAATCCTCAAAGATAGGAAGAAATATCTATTTCAGTCAGCAGTTAGTCTGCATTTCCAAAGCAAAAGAGTAATTTTACTTAAATTATTACAGCATGTATTTGAAGATGGAAATGCCTTACCTAGGACACCTCATCAAACAAAAACTCCAAAGCCTGAATGCTGTTCATCTCTCCCACCCTATACTAGCTCAACTCATCTCAAAGAAAGGTTCAAAGGGTAGCTAAGCCATCTTTGGAATGTGAAGATTTAGACTTCCCTTGGGTATAGCTACTATATTCAAAAATTTTTGTTAGCCTGTCGCCCAGCTCCCAGTGAAAAGTTGAGTTGCTTCTGTGCTATGGAAAAAGAGGATTAATTAAGTAGTAAATACCTAGATGCATGCATAAACTTGAATTTCTTATAAAAAGTATGCTGCTCCTCACTGATCGTGGGCTTGGATTTGAGGTTCTTTCAGAACCCACTTATATTTGAATCCAAAGAAATAATTTATCTAACAGTAAAAAGAAAAAAAGTTAGGACAACTAACTAGACATATCTGGACCTCTTAATTTGTCTCTAGCATTTTTTGTCTTATTGAGATATCTCCCAAACTAAAGTATAAAGTCTATGAAGAAAGAGAATGTAATCATTTTATTTGTACCTTGAGCACCCACCCCATCACAGTCCAACTTTTAGCATTGGTTGGGTGCACAGGCAGCTATTGATTAGTACTTGTAACATATCATTATCTGTCAAAATTTTGTTAATATTTTTATAGCTGCTTTTTCTGGTTATTCTGTATTCATTCTCCAATACTGCTGCCTATGAAGGCTACATTTCTCTTATTACTCTTCCTTTTTCTCATCTCATAGAAATAGCTATTCTTCCCTATTCCCTCAGTTATCTTTAGGCATCTGATTCCCAAATCTCTTTAACTTCTTCAATTCAGTCCCCACTTATCTACCTGGACTCAAATATCACTGTTAAGTCATCTTAATTCATAATGTTTTAATGACATCACTTTCTATACCTTCTTTTCATGCTCAACAACATGATTAAAAGTAGCTTTGACTTCCCAAATGCCAAGATTCCTAACTAACCTCTCATTCCAAACCTTTCCCAAAACCCACTTTGTGCATGAAGCCATTTGAGAACCCACTGGTCAAGTGAAACTATCCATTCATCAAAAATTCTCAGAGTTCACTCACCTTTCTGCCTACATCAAATTTATCTGAAAGGAAAACATCTCAATTGAGGTAAAAAGCCTATGAAAAAAAGTGTTTGTAGGGCGTGTGTGGGTGTGTTGGAGGATGAGCATATGCACACGTTTATGTACACATATAGCATTTGCATATACATACACACACACACTATAAATATATTTTGCCAAAATTAGCACAAACCTACAAGCTTAAAAACCAAATTTGCTAAATCTGACCCAAACCAGTTACTGAGCCCTGTGGCTACTTCCTCCAAGCAGATGCATTACCTCTGTGACAAAGTCAATTGAAAGTTGCAAAAAGGACAGGTAAATACTGTTACAGGTAGCTTGGATTCTGCTTTTTAAAAATTTAAATGTAAAAATTACTTATCACTTTAGGACATTGACCATGTTAATATAATTCTGCACAATACCGAGAATATTCTAGAAACTAAAAAGTACTAAATTTATAACTTAAACAGGAAAACAGAGGCTTGCTTCACAGTGGTTTAATATGAACAGAGTTGAATATGACATTGTCTGACAGAAGAATGAACATTTTGCTGAATGAAAGCCCCGAGTCAGGATATATACACAGCAGAAATGGGACCTCAGGCTCTCAGCACTTGTGCACAATGAAAGAAGGAATCTTTAAAAACAAAAGTAACAGAGGATACAGATGAAAAAGGCAGCAACAACACCAACACTGGAAAGGTGGGAAAGGGAGCAGAGCATCTCTCTAGAGGCTGCTCAGGCCCGGTAGCCGGAGAGCTGGTCTGTCTCAGGGAACTTCAACATATAGATGGACTTAAACCCCATGTTAAAATCCAATCCTTAACCTTTCTGTTCAGGGTCTTGTCAGAATCAGTAATCCTTTTCCCTAAGACCCTATATAAAGAACTCCAACCCTTCCATGTCAGGAAGTCTAAGCAAAGAGACCCCACTTTTGACCTGACACCAGAGTTAACCTGCTCCCATCCCACCGCTTAGGATAGACATTGGGCTCCAGCAAACAACCCACCACCTCCCAGATAGAAGCCCAGGAAAGCTGCCAGCCTCAAGAAGCTGCTTCAGACTCTAAGATTTAGGAAATCTATACCCAGCTGCTAACCCTAGCTCAGCTTCTGGGGAGAATGCTGGGGTTCCATGGGAAACAAGTGCAGGCAGTTCAATAACCCTGTGACCAAGCTGGGGAGGGCAGTGACAACTCTTGCCCCTAAGCCCCATTCAACAGCTCAAAGTGCTTAGGGGAAGTCAGACTATGTGGTTTGTTCATGTGTTTCTACCTTGTGGCAGCACTAAATAGGATGGGGGGGGAGGGAGAATGGAAGGAAGAGAGTGGTGATGTCCTTCCCTACCACTGGGAGGTACCTAGAAAATGATCTACTCCCACCCTTCAGGGAGTTACCTGGCAGTGGTGAGTTTCCCCCGGCCCTCAAGCCACCAAACCTGCAAAGCTAACCCATAAAAGTAGTGAGGGTTTGGGGAGAGAGAACTGCTGGCCCAGCCCATACTGACTCACCTGCTGGTGAGCAAGAAACAGGCAGCCAGAGTGGGGAGCCACAAAGGAGGGGCTAGGCAACAGGATCTCCCTGACTGTCCTATGGCTTTCTTCTGACTCTGAAGCAGCCATGATGATGGGCCCAAAAAACCCCCACACCTTGCTCCATAAACAGACTGCTTAGACTCTAAAATTACTGCCATGAAAAGCAACAAGGGAGAGAGAAAGTATAACAAAAGAAACTCTTGAGAAAACTGGGAAAAGGCCTAGAGAAAATGAAAGCTTCGGGGTCTCTGACACCTTCCACAAAGAAAAAAGTTCATGCAGGTAGGAAAGGCAGGGTCTTTCCCTGCTCAGTGTTCCTGGTTAAACCTAAGAGTAAGAAAAATCCCCTGGACTTGCAGCATCAGTATGTATCTAAGTGCCCCACCAACACAAGACCCACACCCCCAAGGTTGGCCTTCTGGTATGGGTAAATGCCCAAGAAATTGCCTTCCAGTCCAATACCCCCACCCACCCCCCCAATCCCAAGCAAAGGGCATCTGCCTGTGGTTTCCCACCTCTCCTCAGAGAAGAGGATCCTAGTAGAGTGCCCATGGTATAGTCAGGTACCAAGGAACACAATGCCAGAGTCTATCAGGCCAGGGGATGGACAGACAACTTCAGATCAGAGAGAGAGAGAGGCTTAGTGTAAAAACCAATGTCATTTCAGCAGGAAAGTAGAGGGCAAGTGTTGAGAGGGGCTCCTACTGGCGCACCTTCCCAGGGACGTAGTTCCTGTCAATTGCCTCCTCCTGCAGGAACATGTGTAGGCAGCGTTCGTTCTGAGCCAGTGGGTGCCCAGCAATTCTATAAAGAGACCAAGATGGTTATCAGTAGTTTTGGGGACCAGAGAGAATTCACAGAGGGGCAGGGCTGTGGATGCGGACAGAGGAAGAAGGGTAAAGAAACCCTGAGGTTCAAGCAAGTAAAGGACAACAGCAGGGCACCATTTCAACCGTAATACTGCAGAGCGGAAGGGGACGGAGAGGTAAGGGAGGGGCAAATTCCGAGACACATCCAACATGCAGGGCTTCCTCAGGCCCTGGGGCACAGAATCAGAATTCTGCTCAAAGGAATGGAGTTTTACTGTCCAGTGACCCCAGTACACAATCAGCACCACATCATATTACCCATTACAAAACAGCAGGGAGATGAAACATACAGAAAAAGACTAAGATAGCAAAAGTAGCAAAAGGAACCCCCAGGAACTTGGCTTACTTGTTAATAAACTGTTCCAGGCCCTGCCTCCTTTCTTCAATAAAGGACTCCTCAAAGATCCCTTCGTCTCCTCGGAAAGGGAGCTGCCGCTTCAAGGCTTTCCCAGGGAGTGGTGGTACTACAATCTGTAGGCAGACGCAAAAATATTGGTGGTAACGCACTGTACATTTCATTTCCTATTAGGAATAGGGTCCATCCTATGCCATAGTTCAGCAACTTGCAAGAACTGAGATCATAAGAACAGTCAGGGGTGTGGAGAAAAGGGAACCCTCTTACACTGTTGGTGGGAATGCAAACTAGTACAGCCACTATGGAGAACAGTGTGGAGATTCCTTAAAAAACTGAAAATAGAACTGCCATACAACCCAGCAATCCCACTACTGGGCATACACACTGAGGAAACCAGAAATAAAAGAGACACACGTACTCCAATGTTCATTGCAGCGCTGTTTACAATAGCTAGGACATGGAAGCAGCCTAGATGTCCATAGACAAATGGATAAGAAAGTTGTGGTACATATACACAATGGAATATTACTCAGCTATTAAAAAGAACGCATTTGAATCAGCTCTAATGAGGTGAATGAAACTGGAGCCTATTATACAGAGTTAAATAAGTCACAAAGAAAAGCACCAATACTGTATATTAATGCATATGTATGGAATTTAGAAAGATGGTAACAAAGACCCTATATGCGAGACAACAAAAGAGAGAGATATAAAGAACAGACTTTTGGACTCTGATTTGAAAGAATAGCATTGAAACATGTATTCTACCACATGTGAAACAGATGACCAGTCCAAGTTCAATGCATGAAACAGGACACTCAAAGCTGGTACACTGGGACAACCCAAAGGGATGGGATGGGGAGGGAGGTGGGAGGGGGGTTTGGGGTGGGGGACACATATACACCTGCGGCTGATTCATGTCAATGTATGGCAAAAACCACCACAATATTGTAAAGTAAGTAGCCTCCAATTAAAATAAATAGTTTTAAAAAAAGGAACAGTCAGGATGGCTCAGGTCAAAAATTAATCCAACTCTGTTTCTGCAGGAGGACAGGTTTACCATCTCAAAAGAAAGAAAATAAACTTCAAATATTCTTCACTCTCTTTAACAGTCCACTACCATCCAAGAATTTAGCTCAACTTTCCATTTTTAGCACCTATAGGAATTAAGTTGTATGATTTTTCTATCCACTGAGTCAAGTAATTTTTCTTTACAATTTCTCCTGAACTTCCCACTTTCAGGTCTCAAAGGGTATCACTCAGATCCAACATATTGGGATTTGGTAGATAAGAGTACGTTCACCCTCCCTATTGCCTTCAAGATTTTATAAACCTATGGAGATCTCCTCACCCAAGGGTCACACAGGGAACAGGGCCATACCTTACTATCTCGCTCCAGCTCATTTTTTAGCCATTCAAAGTCACTATAGCGCCGTCGTACACAGGACTCCTTCAGTTTGAAGATAGGTAGGTTTGTCTACAAGGACGAAAGAATGAGAGAAGAGAGATGGTAAGTAACACAGCCTGTGACGGCCACCTGTCACAACCACTTGAACATGTCTTAAGAAAGAAACAGCTCCTAAGGACCATGCTCCTATAACCCTTTCGAAACACCACTGGGTGAATACCAATCCTCATCACATCCAGCCTTGTCAGAGGTGGTGATCAGAAGTCCCATGCTGCTTAGAATTTATCCCACAAATAGACTTGAAGTTATACATAAATACATGTATACAAAGGTTTTCACTGAATTTTTCTCATTTATAATAATAATAATAAATGTCCATCAATAGATAATTGGTTAAATAAATTATGGTACACTTGCAGAGTGGAATACAACTATGAAAAGAATGAGAAAGATATATATGTCCCAATACAGAAAGATATTAAGCGTTAAAATCAAGGCACAGAACAGTATATATAATCTGTGTTTTTAAAAGGGATATGTATATGTGTATATATTTATATTTATGAATTAAAACATTTATGAAAAGACACTGATAATAGTGACTGACTTTGGAGACTAAAACTAGACAACTGGAATGGGTACGTCACATTTTTCACTGTACAACTTGAGTTTATCATGTGCATGTATTACATTTTCAATTGAAAAGTGAATTTACAGTCCTTGTAAAAAAAACAAGAGATAAGCACCTTCAAAGTATGCTTTCCTTTGCTTTTCCTGTCCAAATCCTTTCCAATCTCAAAGTCCCAGATCAAGTCCCACTTCATCCAGGAAATCTGTCCTGACAACACTGGCTTAATTTGTTGGTCTCCTGATCTGAACCCTTAGGACACATAAGACTTTGGTATTGCCTGACACACTACCGTTTTATGCATTATGTTAGTCTTGTTACCAAAGTAAATTATAATTTCATTGAAATCAAGAGCCATGACTACTGCTGCATCTCCCTAAATGCAGATTATGCAAGTTATTCAATAAATACTCAATTGATTAACAGTGAACTATGTATCTGTTTACCCTCCCCTTATCCAGAAAGTGCAGCAGAAATAGCAATTACATTAAGTTGGTTTTCCATAGTTTGCTCCCTGATATACATCAGCTGATTCCCACATTTTAATCACTGAGAATTTTCCCAAGGCTCCACTGGCAACATGAACCTCCGACAAACAAAAAGCCCTGATCCTCACTCCTATCTATAGGTTCTAAACAGAAATAGCCAAACAAATGTATTAATACTGACTATACTTCCTACCAGTCAATTCAAATCAGTAGATGGAAATAAAAGGAGCTAGTTTTTCTATTTTCTCCACAACTAACTCAGAGCAGGAAAAGGGCATTGGCACTATGCTGGAGCTTCACACATTCCTTGCTATGTTACGTTCTGTAGTCCTCAAGTCTGGATACTGTCTTTCTAGGATCTAGGTATACAGCATCAAATAATAAAGCCAAATAACTGGCCAACTTACATCAGTTACAACTCTACTCAGGATCAACATCTCAGGAATGGCAGTGGATTGAAGTGGAGTGAGAAATGTGTAAAGTAGTATCTTATTAATGGAAGCAGTAGTTTCTTCAGAAAGAGGAACCTCCAGAAGGCAGGAGAAGGAGAACTCATTGTTACAGTACAGCTTATCCTTGAACAACACAATTTTAAATCACATGGGTCCACATGGGTACACAGATTTTTTTCAATATATATAGTATATCATTTTTGTACCTTTTGAATTTATTTCGTACCATGTGAATGTATTAACTATTCAAAACAAGCCATTATAGAGAACACTCTCAGAATCCTGCACACAAATACATATATATATATGTATCAAATCATCACATTCTATACTTTAAACCAACACAATGTTATCACTGACTCAGTGGACAGAATTTGAACAAGCTCCGGGAGATGGTGAAGGACAGGGAAGCCTGGCATGCTGTAGTCCATGGGGTCGCAGAGTCAGACACGACTGAGCAACTGAACAACAACAACAACACACAACGCTATCTGTCAATTATATCTCAATAAAGCTAGGAGTAAAAATAATCATTCAAGAAAAAAAGCCATTCAGTATCTTGAGATTCTAGGTTTCCACCAGACTTCATTACAAATACTGTGATCCCCAAACAGTAGAACCTTAACTAGTAGGCCAACAGAAAGATGTAAGGAAAAAAGTGCTGAGTAGATTCTTCCAAGACACAGTAAAACCACCCACTGTCATTTTGTGGACTTCCTCCTTTGACTTACAAAAATGGTATTCTTTCCCTACCCCCATAGGATGGTGACAATAATGGCCTTTCATCTCAGCACCTAGCCATCTAAGGAAGGGGCTACTACGTACTAGGATACTCTCTCAGCTCCAACCTACAAACTGTATGAGGGAGACAGGATTGTGTAGTACAGGATACACAGTCCTTTGGCTCTGATCAAAACAAAATCAAGGGAAAGGAAAGAAAGAAGCAACGTTCAAGTCCAAAGGATAAATGACATTTGAAAAGTCCCATACATATCATGTGAAGTCTCCAGAACACCTCTCCAGACTCATTTCTTGCGGGGTTAAGGGGGGTAGATATTCCTTCCTTGAGCTATTATTATACAAATAAAAGAAGTCAGTGCCATCTGCTTCTACCATATACAATGCCCAACTCCCAAAGCCCATTCGCTGAGCCTCATACTCCCTATAATACCTACCATGATCAGTCACTTAAATTAGCAATTTAAAACCAAATGATTTCATCAATTTCCCCTCAGAGCTCAACAAAATATTAAAAGTCTATATAGCCATACAAATTAACAAAAATACAAATTAACTCAAACCCACAGAATTAGGAACTGCCATCAATCCTATCATTACCATACAATTAGTAACTGTGGAAAGGCCTGATGAAAAGCTTAGTAGGGAAAAAAAACTTGCACACTAAAGTTTTGCAATTAAACACTGCCAAAGACACTACAGTGTAGTGGAAAGAGTATGATGGGCTTCGGAGTCAGACAGATCTGGGTTCAAATCCCAACACTGCCACTTATTAGCTATGTGTACTCGGGCAAATTACTTATATTGCATTCCTCCTTAGTTTGCTATCTGTAAAATGGTGTTTTGTAAGGATTTAGAAATTAAATCCGAGTTCAGTGCCTGACACACAACAGGCACTAGATGAACAGTTCTTGTTATTAGAAGTAGAGTAGATAACAGTTCCATTCATAATCCCTACAGCTCTTGGGTAATACATCAAGACAATGTCTCCAAAACCCCACAGCAGAGAGTTCTTACACTGAACAAGTTATGCCCAGTCCTCCTTAGGTAATTAAGTTCTCTACCATTAACAGTTCCCAGTTTTTATCATATTTTGAGGGATCTAACATCCATTCTTCCCCAAAGAGATGATTTCATATAATTCTTATATAGATGAGTTTTTCTCATTTTCTGCTATTCGCATTTCTTTCTTCAGTTTGGACTTTGCCAAACTTGGAATCTGGAGATCATCGCTTCTCAGTTAGATTTCAAAGTTCAGTTGGGACAGCATACTCTCTCATTCAATTCATTCATTCAAAAATAAAAGCACATACACTCTTTTAGGTCTTCAAATGCTGTTTGAGCAGCATGCTGTCCATAGAGAATATTCTGGCCCTCTAGTCTGAGAAGAAAACATAAGGAAAATTAGGAAATGGCTCTCAACCTTTTTGCCTGTAACTACTTCAGTGGGGGCAAAGAACCTGCAAACCATGTACTCTGCACATTCCATCCTTGCATGGTGGACTAAGAACTAGAGAATAAAGTCCTCTGTAGTGCACACTGGAAGAAGCCACTCCTAGGGCAGTACTTAAATGTCATATATTAAAGCTAACTACAGACCAAGGACTAATATAATGAATCCAAAAGGTTCATCTAGGGCAGAAAGGGCAAATGACCATTCATATACAGAAAACCCAAATGAGAGCCAGTAAATACTGAAATAAACATTCTGGATACTTCAAATCTAAAGGGTCAGCACAAGATGAGGGCAGCGACTAACAATCCACCAATCCGAGTTACAAGGTCAGGTTTTCCAGTGAGCATGTAGTACCTGAGAAAACAAGCACTGAACACTTCTCTCTTTCTGATGTTAATTCTACACAAGCCTGGGAAGCACTCAAGGAGCCTCCCCTTCTTATTTCTGCTCCACCAAGTCCACTGTCTCCCTTTCCTGTAGTCTCTCTTCCCTTTAACTCAGGCTTTGCTCAACCCCATCATCCACAACAAAGGATGAGATTGTTGGATGGCATCACCGACTCGACGTGAGTTTGAGCAAGCTCCGGGAGTTGGTGATGGACAGGGAAGCCTGGTGTGCTACAGTCCATGGGGTCGCAAAGAGTCGGACACGACTGAGCAGAACTGATCATCCACGGAGACCTCATTAGGAGGAAGTTGGGCCTTCCTGATCCCCTACCTCAGACTGACTTCCCACAACCTCCTTTTGGGACCCCGCAGCATATCGCTTTGGCTTTCCATCCCCCAGCCCTCTTCCACTCTTCCTTCCCTCCTTCTGTTGCTACAGTTCTGATTCCTACTTCCTGGAATTCCTCACTCTAATCCTCTCTACCCCCACCGTCTCCAGTCATGCTTCCTTCTTGCTCCTGGGTACTTGTTTTCCCTGAGGCTGGTCATCGGGCCAGGAGTCCCCTCTCAGGAGCTTTCTGCATCCTCAGGCCACAACCTTGTGTGCAGACTTCTCAGCAAACCTACTAAGCCCCTAACCCCCAAATGACCCCTCCAGTGTTTCCTCCACCGTTAGCCTTCCCTATGGCAGTCTTCCCCCTCCCCTCCCCCGCCCTTCCCGCCCAGCCGCCCGGTCCTCCCTCAGCCGTCTCCCTCACCCCGTGACTCACCCGCATGCGAACCTCATAGGTGGTGAAGCGCGCGCGGCCCACGCCCACCGTCTGTGGATTAAAGATGTCGATCTCCAGGAAGTTACTCGGAGGCCCGTAAGCGTCGGTCAGGTCCTGCGGCTTCGAGTTAAGGCGCCGAGTGTCAGCTACTGCCGTGTCCGACATCTTTCCGAAGGAGAGAGCCAGACCGGGGAAAGGGGGGGTGGGGGGGGACAGAGGCCGAAGACAGAGAGCGCGCACGGCCCCTCCCGCTTGCAAAACAACCAGCCAACCCACAGACAGCGGCGCCGCGCACGCGCGCCCACGCACGCACGCACGCACGCGCACGCCGTCACAGCCAAGGGCCCGGAACCCTGAATTGTGCCTACGCTGATGGCTGGCTCTCCTGTACCAAGAAGGCATCATTCAGACTTCCGGGCGGTGTGTGTGACTGCCCTGGAACCTGCATCTCCAACAAGCATTCCCCCAGTATCCTAGGAAGCACTACAGGGGAGGTCTGCCAATCGCTGCTCCTCAACCCGAGAAACTGTTTTTATATTATGCATCCATCAGCAGTGGGTACTGCCCCGCAAGCTGGGATCCTACAGTGATAGGCCGAAGCCCCGGGACCTGAATAAGTCCTGGTTTTGCGCGAAAATAGAAGGGTGGTCTCCTGAGGGTGGGGTTCCAACAATAGTAAAAACGTAGAACGCAGCCTGGCCACTTGTGCCACTGATAGTTTCATTTCACACGCAGTTGAGCACTCAGTGAGCGCTACTTACGATGCCAGGAAAGCAACAAAGATGAGGTAAACAAAGATGATTTCTCATCCTCAGTTTTCAGGAAAATGTGGACATACCTTCATCCTCCACTTGTTGCCACATAAAAGCTAATTTCAGGTATACTCAGATATTACATTTCTCAGCAAACTGAGAGCATTTATTTCAACGCCTTCTATCTCTAATCTGCAAAATTCCATACTTGGCACTGCTCTGAGGTTGCTTACAGCCCATTTTGGAGACAGAATATATGTCTACATGAGAATATCTAGAGAAATACTATACTTATATGACTAATTTGCACATGACCCACATGAAGAGGGTAGTGCCCACAGTAAAGGTGATAGTTTTAAGTCATCCTTCTCCTTTCTCTAGCCCTCTTCTACTAAAAAAAAAAATCCCATATCATTGATGCCTGAAATTCTTTCAACAGAGTACATGGCCCTATAATTTCACAGTTAAGCTTTTTAATTCAATTTAACTGATATCTCTTAGCAACTACTTATGTGTAGTTTCCTAAGCAACTACTTATGTGTAGTTGCTTATGTGCGTGGGTGCTCAGTCCCTCAGTCATGTCCTACTCTTTGCGACCCCATAGACTGTAGCCAGCCAGGCTCTTCTGTCCATGGAATTTTCCAGGCAAAAATATTGGAGCAGGTTGCCATTTCCTACTCCAGGGGATCTTCCTGACCCAGGGATCGAACTAGCATCTCCTGTTTTGGCAGGCGGATTCCTTACCACCAAGCCACCTGGGAGATCTACTTATGCTAAATATTAGAGACCTAGAGTTCAGTAAGAGAGTCCCTGCCCTCAAGGAGTTAACATTATAGAAAAGGAGATGAGTAAATAAAAGTAAAAATAATGTGACAAATAGGAAATAAGTGAATGTTCACAGCAGCATGTAGGACATGAGTAACTGGAGGAATTTAGGAAGGCTTCCTGGAGGAGGAAACATCTGAGTTTGACAGACATGAAAAGACAACAGGAATGGAAATGGGGAAAGGTGATTTCATGCAGAAGGAATAGCATATGCAAAGTCATCCAGATAAGAAGCAGCACAATATTTTTAGACAGTTATCATCAATTCAGGTTGTGTTATGGAAGTGCTTAGAGAGGTAGCCTGGCTGGGGATGGTCAGATGAGGATGATCCTTCTATATTAAGCAAAGGATCTTTGGCTTTATGATGTAGACAATAAGAAACCACTGCAAGATCTTCAACAGAAAGAAAAAAAAGACACAATTAGATTTGTGTTTTAGAAGGATTATTTTGCAGGCAACATGGAAGAAGATCTATCAGAGTTGAATGTGACCAATTATGAGTATCTACAATAGTACTTGGAATCAGGTGGTGGCGGTGGGAGTGGAGAAAGGGGAAGACAGAAGGCTGAGACTGAGGAAATAAAATAGATAGGAGTTGTATCTGATTAGATATGGTGGTTGTAGGGCCTAAATGTGTGAAATATGGGCTTTGGCTGCCTGGGTTTAGATCGTTGCTTCCTAGCTATACAACGTTGACATCTTATCCAACAAGTTTTCCTCCCCTGTAAAATGGAAATAAGACTAAAAACTACCTCTGGGGCTTTGGTGAGAATTAAATGAAATAAAATATGTGCAAATAGTAAGTGTTCAGTAACTATTAGCTATTATTACTATTTGAGGGAGAGAGAGAAAATAATAAAATGACTCCTAGGTTTCTGAGATAGGTAACTAGGTAGATTGCTGGTGAAAGTGAAGTAAAGTGAAGTGAAAGTCACCCAGCCATGTCCGACTCTTTGTGATCCCAAACACAAGCCTTGTGTACTTTTTAAGTTTATCCAGTGATTGCTCATTTCTTGCTATGCAGTGAATGTGAAAGTGTTAGTCACTCAGTCAGTCATGTCAGACTCTGTGCGACCCTATGAACCGTAGCCCACCAGGCTCCTCTGTCCATGGGATTCTCCAGGCAAGAATACTGGAGTGAGTTGCCATTCCCTTCTCCAGGAGATCTTCCCGACCCAGGGATCGAACCCAGGTCTCCTGCATTACAGGCAAGTTCTTTACTGTCTGAGCCACCAGGGAAGCCCAGATTGCTGGTACCACCAATCAAAACTGGATTACAGAAAGAAGAGTGAGCTTGGGAGGGAAGACAGTGAGTTCAGTTTAGATGAATCTGGGGTATCTATAGGACCTCCAAATGTTCATGAAGTGGCTGGAGATACTGGCTTGGAGCTTGCGGATGTGATTAGGGCTAGAGATTTGGGAACTATCAGCATATAGTGTAGAAAGAAAAATGTGAAGAGGCAAGGACAGAATATTCAAAAATTGGTGACGGCATGCAATATTGATGAGAGTATAAATCCATACAATCTTTCTGGGAGGCTGGCAGTATGTATTTGTTTAAAAAAAAGCCTTTGACCTCAAGAAACTTGTAATACTGCTTGTCTCTGGAGAACACAATTGGAAAACAGGAGTCAGGGACAGCAGGGAGAGTTGTTTTTCATTTTCATTTCATTTATGTTTAAATGCTTTTGTATTAAAAAAATTTTAATAGGAATTCACTTGTGGTCCAGTGGTTAAGACTTGGCTCTTTCACTGCCAGGGCCCAAGTTCAATCCCTAGTCAGGAAACTAAGATCCTGCAAGACTTGGGGCATGGCCAAAAAATTTTTTTGTTGTTATCTATCAAAACTTTTGGCTCAAAATTTTCACCTCAATAGTAAAACTCACTGTCTTGTGTAAATTGCCAAATTCATGATTCTCCTACGTATCCATTTAAAATAATGTTCTTATATTCATTGATATGGAATGATGCCCACAAAAAAAGTGGGAGAAAGCTGGTTAAAAAAAATATCCTCGATCATGGTGATTGGCAAGAACAAGTGCCTTAATGAAAGGCAGCAAAAAGGAAGCCAAAAAGAAAGCACCATGATTGAAGCTACATTGACATCAAGACTACTGATGATTATTTGCTTCATCGGTTCTGTGTGGGTTTTACTAAAAATGCAACAATCAGATTTATAAGACTTCTTATGCCCAGCACCAGCAGATCCGTCAAATTCAGAAGAAGATGAAGGAAATCGTGACCCAAGAGGTGCAGACAAATGACTTGAAAAATAAATTGACTCTAGACAGCATCGGAAGAGGCATAGAAAACTCTTGCCAATCTATTTATCTGCTTCATGAAGTCTTTGTTAGAAAAGTAAAAATGCTGAAGAAGCCCAAGTTTGAATTGGGAAAACTCATGGAGCAACATGGTGAAGGTAGTAGTTCTGGAAAAGCTATTGGGGATGAGATAGGTGCTGAAGTTGAATGAGCTGATGGATATGAGCCACCAGTCCAAGAATCTGTTTAAAATGCAGACGTTTAATGGTGACAAATAAAAGACCTTATTTGTGAAAAAAGATACTGTAATATGATACTGCTTGTATTACTGTATGTTGTTGTTCAGTCGCCCAGTCATGTCCAACTCTTTGTGACCCCATAGACTGCAGCACGCCAGGCTTCCCTGTTGCTCACCATAACCAGAATTCTGCCCACGTTCATGTCCATTGCATCAGTGATCAGTTCAGTTCAGTCACTCAGTCGTGTCCGACTGTTTGAAACCCCATGAATCGCAGCAGGCCAGGCCTCCCTGTCCATCACCAACTCCCAGAGTTTACTCAAACTCATGTCCATCGAGTCAGTGATGCCATCCAGCCATCTCATCCTCTGTCGTTCCCTTCTCCTCCTGCCCCCAATCCCTCCCAGCATCAGGGTCTTTTCCAATGAGTCAACTCTTTGCGTGAGGTGGCCAAAGTATTGGAGTTTCAGCTTCAGCATCAGTCCTTCCAATGAACACCCAGGACTGATCTCCTTTAGGATGGACTGGTTGGATCTCTTTGCAGTCTAAGGGACTCTCAAGAGTCTTCTCCAGCACCATAGTTCAAAAGCATCAATTTTTCGGCGCTCAGCTTTCTTCACAGTCCAACTCTCACATCCATACATGACCACTGGGAAAAAACCATAGCCTTGACCAAGCGGACCTTTGTTGGCAAAGTAATGTCTCTGCTTTTTAATATGCTGTCTAGGTTGGTCATAACTTTCCTTCCATGGAGTAAGTGTCTTTTAATTGCATGGCTGCAGTCACCATCTGCAGTGATTTTGGAGCCCAAAAAAATAAAGTCTGACACTGTTTCCACTGTCTCCCCATCTTTTTCCCATGAAGTGATGGGACCAGACGCCATGATCTTAGTTTTCTGAATGTTAAGCTTTAAGCCAACTTTTTCACTCTCCTCTTTCACTTTCATCAAGAGGCTTTTTAGTTCCTCTTCACTTTCTGCCATAAGGGTGGTGTCATCTGCATATCTGAGGTTATTGATATTTCTCCCGGCAATCTTGATTCCAGCTTGTGCTTCTTCCAGCCCAGTGTTCCTCATGATGTACTCTACA